TCGTAAAGACATCTAAAACATTTTTTAATTTCAAGTATTTATCAAAAAAATATATTTAAAAATTATTTAATTATCTAAAACTTTTAAATTTAACTGAAAGATTAATTCAATTATTTTTAAATTATTAGTAACAAATTTTAATTTAAATATATATTTTTTAAAAATATATTTCCAAATAATCTAAATATATAAAATTTTAACTATAGTGATATATTATCTTTTAAAATAGATTTTCTAATAATATAAAAAAAATATATATATATATATATACATGTATCATATCTTTTTAAATTTAAAAATCTCAAATGTTGTGATATTATAAAATTGATTTTTTAATAATTTGAATATATATCATTTTAAATTTATAATTTTTAATTTTAGAGATTTCATAATAGTCCTTTATTATTTGGTTTTTTTTAAATTTAAAAGGCCAAATATTACATAATTTATTCTTTAATGATACTCTCAGTTTTAATTTTATATTTTTTTTCAACCTTTATGCTTGAAAAGAAATGGTTTTTAAACTTGTGAGATAGATTGGAAAAAAAAAAAAAAACTTGCGAGATACATAAATTTTTATTATATTTTTATAATTTTGTTATATATGAGATGCACAATTTTTTTACTATATATTTTTTTTATGAAATGTGCATTCACATTTTAAAAAGTTAAAATCAATACTTTTTTATTTTCAAAATTTTTATAAAAATTTTAAATATTTTGTTTGTTCTAAAGCGTATGTATGGAGCTTATAAAATTTTTTTTGACAAATTATGGATGTTAAGGAGGAAAAAAAAAAGATTAGTGTAGCACAATAATAACTCTTTTGAAGTATTTTGACAATTAAAAGTAAGAAATATTGATTTAATTGTTTAAGCATTATTTGTAGTTTTATTTATTTAGTTAAAAAAGATTATATAAGCTTACTTTTCATTGTTAATTTTGTTGTGCTTTTCTTTTATTTATTTTTTATAAAAAATTTATAAATGAAGGCAAATGTCTAAAATGCAATACTAATTCTAACGTAATTGTTTGATATAAAAATAAAATCATGTTTTATTTATTTGAAATTAAATTTTATAATTTAATTCTTTTGGTATTATTGTTTTTTTTTTTTTGAAGCAAAACATAAATAGTAAAAGAAAAATAATTGTTTTACAACAAATTGATTATAAAATCCCGTGGATGGAACTGACACATTTTCATTAAAACCTTTTTACTACAAATTTTTAAATTATTGTTTAAAATTTAAAACTATTACTTAAATTTAAAACTATTACTTAAAATTTAAAAATATTTCATTTCAACTTAGTAACATAATTTTACATCAAATGTAAAGCTTAAAACAAATATAAAAATTAAATTAAAAAATCTAAAATCTTGAAAATTATGATATTACTAAACTCATGCAAAAAATGTATTTGCAAATAAGCTATCACACATATTTTTTAATTATTTAAAATCATTTCTTTTTTCAAATAAATAAAACTTATTTTAAAATTATATAAAATTATAGATGTATAAAAATGATTATATAAGATAGAAATGACACAAATTGAATAAAGTTAATTTGAAGTGATGAAACTTTTAGTTTCCAATTTAATATTTTGTTGGTACACTTAATAATATAATTTATATATAAATCTTTGGAAATTTTATTTTTCCTCAAATATTATTATATGTTTTGAATGTTTTAATTCTTTAATTAAAAATTTTAATTTTATTATATTTTGATATTTTAATTATATTATTTTTAGTTTATATATATATTGAATATCTAAGTGATTAAATAATATTAATTTATATATCTAAATACATTTAAATAAATAAAAATAATTCGAACACTACACAAATAACAAATTAGTTAACTCTATATTTGCCCACGAAAGATTGGCTTAATTCACTTTTCACTATGAAATACTTGGCTTTGAGTTTCGTTAGTGATTCTTAATTGATGTTAATATCCAATGTAGGCAACCAAATTTTTTAAAGCGCACATTTTGTCTTGGTCTAAACGTTTCAGCAATCAACCTCTTCATTTTTTTCAACTAAAAAATTTCATATTTGATAATTTTTTTTAAATAGTAAAAGGCTTTTAAGCTTTTTTTTTTTGGATAAAATAGCATCATTTCCATTTAGAATAGTGAAACCATATCTCAGGATACAATGCATGATAGTACCCCTAGGCATACATTAGACCAATGTCTCGTCGTCATGTTTTCCATTGTCATTTATGCCATCTTATGTGCTGCCTCATTTGCCTCTCTTTGAACGTACACAGCTTTCCATCTTTGAATGGTGGACAGATTAACTTAGATCTCCATTATCTGATTTCCAATCAAAGAAATATTGTTTCGGCCGGTTCCGTAATCTGGTTTATAATACCTTTTGCATCCCCTTCTAAAATAATCTCATTCCACCCTTCGTTTGAAACATATTCAGCTGCCTTTGATGCAGCAATCCCCACAATAATTGTTGCGTCCTTAACTCCTGTAATGAGTATGGATGCAGCTCCCAAAACCCTCCTCTGGTAGTTTTTGGCTAGCAGTCCAATGCCTCCAACTCTTCTCTCCAGATTTAGAGCTCCATCAAAATTAATTTTCACTTCATTCTCCCTTGGTGCTCTCCATTTAGCTTCAACTTTTATGGCTTGGTCTGAAACTTCAAACTCTTGCATATATCTATCAATAAAATGCATAATTTCTTGGCTTTCCCTACTCTTATCATTGTTAATGAGCTCGTTTTGGTTGAATTATATAGCCCAGCACATCACCATAATTTGTCTTAGCTTCTCCATCCTTGTGTTGTTGACCAGCCTTGCAAACCACTCAGCTAGATTTAATCCTTGGGATTTCAACCACTCTGTCCTATATCCAGCTAGTGTGCATATCCCCTTCGATTCTTGGCAATCTTTTATTATATGTATTATAGGTTCTTTATCCTCCTGCCACCGTGGACACACTACACCTTCCATTATCCTCCATTGCTGCAGTCTTTTGTATCTGGGTAGAGCCTTATTCCCCATTCTCCAAGCGAAGATTTTTATCTTGCTTGGAAGAGAAAGCTGCAATAATCTCTCCGAGTTTGGACTGTTATTGTTTGCTGTTGTCTCCACCCTCACTCCCTCTAAAGATGCCAGTAAATGGTAGCCACTTCGGACATTGTATTGACCCGTTTTCGTGTGATGCCATACTTGGATGTCTGGGAGACCACTGTGGCTCAACGGTATTGCTAAGATATCCATTATTGTTTCTGCATCAAAACGTTCTCATAGCTTATCCTCATTCCAGCAGTTTATCGGGCTCCTTAGTAGGTCAGCCGCATATTCAAGCCTTGGATTATAGTCTTCTCTTGGCTTCAGTTTGAAATAGCCCTCCCTTGGAATCCAATTATCTGACCACATGTTGATACTCAGTCCGTTGCCTACCCGCCACTTGGTGCCCTACTGCAACACTTTTTTCCCTGACCAAATACTCTTCCATGTAAATGAGGGAACGTACCCCAGCTCTGCTTCTAGAAAAGAGGTATTTGGAAAATACTTGGCCTTGATAAATCTATGCATGAGTGAGGTCCGGTTGTGTAGGAGTCTCCATCCTTGTTTTGCAAGCAATGCTTTATTAAAGAACTCCATTTCCCTGAAACCCAAACCTCTAGCCTTTTTAGCCCTGCACATAAAGTTTCAGGATTTTCAGTGTATTGCTTTTTTTTCAATTGACCTCCTGCACTAGAATTTGCTAACGATCATGTTAATATTGTGGCATAGGCCCTTTGAAAAAAGAAAACAAGACATAGCGTATGAAGAAATCGCCTACAATATTGATTTTACAAACACCTCATTTCCTCCTAGGGACAACCATTTGTGATTCCATTTCTTTATTCTCTTTTCCATCTTTTTCAGTCTTTCTCGAAAAGCTTGTTTTTTCCTTCTCCCAGTAAACATTGAGAGACCTAGGTACTTTTTCGAGCTTGTGGTAACTTGTATCCCAAATCTGCTTTTTACCATCTCCTTGGCCTCTGGCCTGGTATTTGTACTGAAGAATAAGCCTGACTTGTCGTAATTTATTTTTTGCCCAGAACTTTCTTCATGCCACTTTAACACGTCCTTCACTTCTTTGCTTTCCTGTTGGTTTACTTTGAAAAAAGCATACTATTATTAGCAAAAAATAAGTAAGTGATTCTAGGACCCCGGACACTTGCCCTTACTCCTTTTAGCAAGCCCTCTATTTGCATTTTAGTCAAAAGTGCCGACAAACTCAGTACACACCATAAGTAGATATGGGGATAGAGGATCTCCTTGTCTTAGCCCCCTTTTTGGATGAATAAACCAATTGTAACTACATTGTATGCAACAGACTAAATGCATTTCATAATGAGTGCAATCCACCTTCTATCGAAACCCATTTGCTCCGTAAAAGCCTTTATGAAAGGTCACTCCACTCTATTATACGCCTTGCTCATGTCCAGTTTTAGAGCACACCATCCGTCTTTCCTCGTGTTTTTGTGTTTCATTGTATGCAACAGTTCATATGCTATAATCACATTATCAGTTATTAGACGACTTGGAACAAAGGCATTCTGATTTTCACTTATACACCTTGGTAACACCCGTTTCAATCTATTAGCAATGGTTTTCGCAATAATTTTGTATAGAACATTGCATAAGCTAATAGGTCTGTACTGAGCAATTTTCCTAGGTGTTTTAATTTTTGGGATGAGCACAATATAAGTATCATTTATCCCATCCAAACTTCCCCTTCCACTTAGAACCTGCAGATAGAATTCAGTAATATCCGATCCTATAATATCCCAAAATTTATGGAAAAATAAAACCAGCATACCGTCAGGGCTCAGGGCTTTTATAAAATGGATCTGTTTCTTGGCACTACGAACTTCATCCTCTGTAAAGTCTGGGATAAGCCAATCATTCAACTCACCCGAAATGCATGGAGAATTGTCCCTATAATTTTGTCCAAATTTGAAATACCTTGGGTTTTGAACAGTCATTTGAAATAATCTGCTGCATGCCTTGAGATTTGCAAGTCATCTTCAAGCCACTTCCCCGCCTTATCTTCCATACCATTTACTCTATTTTTTCTCCTCCTTTCAGAAGCCTGACTATGAAAGAACCTTGTGTTTTTGTTGCCTTCCCTAAGCCAGTCAATGTGTGCCCGTTGTTTCCAGTATACTGCCTCCTGTTCTAAGAGGCCATTTAATTCATCCTTTAGCTACAATTCCTTTCTCACGGCCACCTTACTTGTACCCCACCTTTGTACCGCTCTTAAGCCATCATAAAGCTTCTCAATCCTTATGCCAAGCTTATAGGCCTTTTTTTTCCTCCACTTTTTTAAATTATCCAGCACGTGTTCAACCTTGTGCCGTAAGGAATTGTCCTCCCCTGTCTTCCAAATTTCTTCAATGGTTTTTGAACAACTAGGTTCTACTAACCACGCGGCCTCGAAGAACCTTCTTGTATTTTTACACAAACTGTTGCCTTTTTTGCTTTATCCCTCTTATGTCCACCATTATAGGATGTGACCTAACACAAGGCTGGATAAATGTTTTACAAGGTGATAAGGAAATAACTAGCGCCATTCCTCAGTTGCCACAGCTCTATCTAACCGTTCTCGAACACAGTTTGATTCCGTTCTCCCTCTTTGCCATGTGCAACTCGATCCCTGATAACCTAAGTCATAAAGGCCCATATCCTCAAGCATTGTTTTAAGTCCTCTGTCATTCCGGTCTTAAAACACCCCCTTCCTTTTCACCACTCCACAGTATTTTGTTGAAATCCCTTTAGCACAACCATGCACCCCCATTTTGCTCCCCAAGAGTCCTTAGTAAATCCCAAGTGGCTTTCCTATTCCTGGTAGCTGGCTTTCCGTAGAAACTTGTCAATCTCCAAGCTTTCCTCCCGCATCTAATGCATCCATATCTATATGATGTTTTGAAAAACTACGTAGGTTCAACGTCATCTCATCCCTTCATAACATTACAATTCCACCACTACTTTCCTTTGCAGCTACATTAAACATTCCTTGTATTTTGCACTGTCTTCTTATTCTATCCATCATAACATTATTGGAGATGGTTTCCATCAAGAAAACCACCTCGGGGTTTTCTCTCTTCAGGATTTTCTGAAGAGCTCGAACTGTTTGTGGGTTCCCAAGCCCACGGCAGTTCCAAGCTAAACATCTCATTTGTCTCGGCAGGACTAGTAGCCAGTCAACGTCATTTCAATGTTTCTCCCATCCTTATTTTCTTCCTCATTTTTCCTACCTCATCTCATTTGTCTCGGCAGGACTAGTAGCCCGTCACCGTCATTTCAATGTTTCTCCCATCCTTATTTTCTTCCTCATTTTTCCTACCTCATTTCCTAAGAGAGTCTATCTCCATGTCTGTTGTGCCTTCATCCACTTGTTTCCTTTTCCCTAGTTCCAATGAGATACCTGCCCCTTATGTACTTAAAATCACATGCCAATTTCTTTCGATTTTTGGGATGTTGTTCACCGGTAACGATTAGTTAAGGTTAGTTTATTATTCAGATTCGATTCAAATAAAATTTGAATTTAATTAAATTATTATTATATTAAATTTAAATTTAAGTAATTTAATTTATCAATCGAATCGAATTCGAATATTTTTATAATTAATTTGAATAGTTTATGAGTTTAATTAAATTTTTATATTTTAATTATTTTAATTAATAAATATTTTGAATTCAAATATAAATAATTAAATTTTTATCGAATATAAAAATTAAATTTATTATTATATATTAATCAAGTTAGATCAAGCAAACTCGAATAGTTTAATTTTTATCTTGATTTAAACTTTAAATTAAAAAAAAAATAAAATTTGATCAAATTTAAATTAAATTTTAAATCTCAAATTTTAAATTAAATTTAAATTTAATACTATATTGATTCAAACTTAATCAATTACATTTTAATACAAAGTTCTGATCTAAAATTGGTGTTGGTTCATTCTCATGCAAACCTGCCTCATTCACAGCCCCACCTCTTAGTCTCTCTAATTGAATTTTTTTTAAATCTTCTTAGGCCCTCTTTGATACATGGCTCATCGATCTGACATTTGTAGGTGCTTTTTTATTCCAATCCATCCCATTCTGACCCAAATCATTAAGTCTCCCTTGCAAGTTCCTTTCCAACTTTCCCATGGGCCCAGATCTATCATTATCGGCCACAACCCCAATCACGTGCAACCCCCATTCGCATGGCTTTCCTTGCGTGTATGTAAAAGTATGGTGCCCGAGATTTACGTTGCATTGCTTCTAATTCGTCAGCTAATCCGTGCTATTACCACCCTTATCCCGAGAATCTGCATGAGATGATTTTCCTCTCTTCTTTCCAAATCTAACTTTCGTGCCACACCTTCGTCGGATCCAGTCGTTCCCCCGAACCATAGATTTAAATTGTGATTGCGAACAAGTTTTTTATTACATTATATTTATCATAATTATTAAAATAATAAAAAATATTTCGATCATTGTGGTTGTGATTTTTTTTTAATTTTACACAACTCATTATAAAATATAATAATTATAATAATAATCATAAAATTTTTATTTTATGATTTTTAAAATAATTTATAACACTTTATTTTTTTATTTTTTTAAAAAAATTATTTATAATTTTAAAAAAATTATAACAATATATTTATATTTTATTTTATACCAAATTTTTGCTTGAGAGAAAATCATATTCAAATTATAACAAAGTTACAAAAATTTCTATTTCCCTTTACCTACTCAACCCCCCAAACAAGTCCCTTCAGTTAGCCTACCAATTTATCAAACCCACTCATGTCGTATCCTTCCAAATTTTCTTTTTTTTTTTTTTTAAGTCTTCATTTCCTTTAGCTTTCACCCACCACCCGCCTTCCACCCCCAAACTCTTCTGCCTCAACTTTCAATTCAATGTTCGGTATCCACACACTCCAACTCCATTCCTCTAGGATCTAGCCTTTCTTCTTCACTCTTACTCTTCTTCTTCTCGTCTTTCTCACAAAGACCTAAACTCTAAAATTAATAAATCAATAAAATAATCTCCTGTCTACCTCTCTTGATTAACTCTCTGGTCTCTGCCTCATTCCTCCACCACCAATTTCAACATATATTCAACTCACAGCCCACAGCCTTTCGACCTACCAATTACAGATCAATCATTAAAGATTTTTTTTCAACAACAATTTGTAGCAAGCTAGCAAAATTTTCTTTTTAAAAAAGGTAATTTTAACTTACTCTTACCTTTAAACTGATTATTCTTTGACACTTAATCTTTGTTGAGGATGAATTTGGATGAATTGAGTTGATTTAATTGATTTTTTTTTTTTAAAAAATATGGACGAAAAAAGGGGTAGCGACAATAATGGATTATTATTTTCGCTATTGCCCGCTACAGCATTCTGTTGCGGTCAAAATGCATCGCTTTGAGTGTGTTTCAAATTCATAATCATTTTTTCTAAGATAGCGGTGGCAACTTAAGGTGCTATTGCGAAACAATTGACGCTATTCTACTATTGCACCATTATTTAATTTCCTGCCCCAAACTTCTGTTGAACACGCCCTGGTGTCCCCTTTTCCCATTGTGATTACTTGTTTTTCAATAGGGATGTTCGCAACCAACTTTCGTATTGCCTTATCTAGTCCAAAACATTCTCTTCCTTATTATCGTCTTTTTCACAATCTTCTTCTACATGGCCTAGCTTCCTATATATGTAGCAAAAATTTGAAAGTCTCTCATAGCTCAATTTACCTTAGACTTGTTTTTGTTTTTGACCTTGTATTAAGAAGTATTGTCCTCCTTAGAAGTTTGGTTATATCTTTTTTCACTCTCACCCACAAGAACTTAGCCTATCCCCGTTTCTCTAAACTTGCATCTGCTATTACTAGAGAACTTATTTTATTTTCAATACTCGTTATCGTTGCTTGATTCCTCATCATTAAGGGAAGTGCATAAGTCCATAAACCCTAATTCAGAAAATGGTGTAGACACTTTAATCTATCTAGGGTTTTACTTATTTCTATTAATTAAAAAATAAATAATAAAAAATAAAAAATCAAGAAAACTTTAAGGAGGTTGGATTTGTCTAGGATTGTTTCTTTGGGGTTGTTAAATTTGAGTTAAAATCAGAATTGAAATCTGAATTTAAAAGGAATCGAAACTCTATTGATATCGAGGGTTCTCTTAATTTAAATCCTATAAATACAGACTCCAATCAAGCCTCAAAGGACATACAAATCAAAGAAAGTACATAAAGAGAAAGGCAAAAAAACCTCACAAAAACAACCAGAAATTTTAGAAAATTTTTTGTTTTTGCAATTTTTTTTTTGGAAATTTTTAAAAAAATTTCTAAAATTCGATTAAATTTTTCAGTGATCTTTAAAGATTTTGGTGACTTTTCGACAAGATATCCAGTTTTCAATGAGTTTTCCAATTTTTGGCATCCATCTTTCAAAAATCGATCAACTTTCGACAAACTTCTGGTAGCTCAACCCAGAGTTTAGTGAGATTTTCAAATCTGATGAAGATTCAATCAATGTTTTTGGGGTTCTAGAGAGAGAGAGAAAAGAAGAGAAATCTAAAGAAAAAAGAGGAATTTAACATTTTTATACCCTTCCCAAAACGACATCATTTTGGCATTAAATAATCTTTAAGATCTGCGTGTTTTCTAGCAGGTGACACAACCCAAGCACTGACCTGCCTCTTCAACTAGCTTCCCTATACTTACCTTTAACTGAGCTGAGCTACAAGCTGCATGTTCCAGCTACTTCTTTTGCTTGTAATTGAGTCACATCCTCTAAGCCACCAAGCTAAGCCATTTCTATTTTTAGGTATTTTTATTTATTTATTTATTTATTTTGTTTTTTAAGTATTTTCCATAATTAAATTTTAGGAAAAATAAAAAATAAAAAATAAAATAAAATATTTTTTTGAGAATAAATAATAATTATCCAATAATAGAATTTTTAAGAATTTTTAAATGGTAAATTTCTATAAAATTTTTAGGTGAGAAATTTTTTCTAAATTTGTCTCAAACGGTGGAATAATTTAAAGAAAGTTTCAATAATAATAATTAATATTTATTATCAATTTAAAAAATAAAAATAATAATAAAAATAATAAAAAAATTTTTGTTGAAAATATTTGACAATTATCCTAAAATGAGAATCTTAAAATTTTCAAATGATAAATTTTCTAAGATATCCCTAGGTGAGAAATTTCTTTAAATTTGTCCCAAATGATAGAAGAATTTAAATAAAACTTCAAAAAAATAATTGTCATATTATTTTTTTTCAAATATAAAAAGTAAACAAAATTTAAATAGAACCAAATGGTGAAAAATTTATAAATCAAAAAGAAAATTTCTAAATTAGCCCAAATGGTGAAAAATTTAGAAATAAAACTTGTAAAATAAAAAACAAATTTCGGGGATGAAATTCTTAGTAATCGCAAATAGTTGACTATCTAAAAAATTTTTAGGTGAGAAGATATTTCTAATTTAGCTCAAATGGTGAAATAATTAAATATATTTTTAATAAAAAATGAAATAAAATTAAATAATGATTAAACCTTTTTCTGACTACGAAAACTTTTCAAGAAAACAAATGAGATTCTTGGATACTTTTGAGGTGAGAAAATATTTTTAAGAATTCTACTAGATTAATGGAGAATATCTTAAAAATTATTTTTAATATTTAAACATTAAAATTAAGACCATTAGTGTCAAGACCGTAGGATAATTTAAAATAAAATGGTATCATTTTTTGGATGGATATGTGGAGGTGCTATAACTTTCTCCATATATAACCAACTTTCAAACCCTATTCTGATTAATAGACCAGAACTTATTCTTTTAGGGACCTTTAGTCAAGTTTAAAAACTTCTTAAAAAGATAGATTTATTAGGTGATCAATCATACTTAGTTAAAAAAGATTGATGGTGACTCCTCTTATTAAATCTAGCTATAGATTTACAGATCTATATGTCATGACAGTTTGGTGCTCATAGGTAACAGTTGCTTGACTTCTTAGATAAGGCACAAGATCATTACCAACAAGCTACGAAATTTATAAGGAGGCATTAGAGTAATGTTTAGCAATAAAAATTGATGTTTAGGATTTTAAGATACTACTTTGGCTTGCTTAGGATGTAGTTTTGAAATTTTATTAAATAAA